GTTAGTTCATTTTGTTCATTAGATCCCACATATGAGTGAAATCACATGGTACTTGTCTTTCTCTGCCTGGCTTATTTCACTTAGCATAATGCTCTCCAGGTCCATCCATGCTGTCGCAAAAGGTAAAATCTTCTTCCTTTTTACGGAAGAGTAGTGTTCCACTGTGAAAATGTAGCACAGCTTTTTTATCCACTCATCTACTGGTGGACACCTGGGCTGCTTCCAAATCTTGGCTCTTGTAAATAATGCTGCAATGAACACAGGAGTGCATATATTCTTTCGAATTAGTGTTTCAGGTTTCTTCAGATAAATTCCCAGAAGTGGAATAGCTGGGTCTTAAGGCAGTTGCATTTTAATTTTTTGAGGTAACTCACGCTATTTTCCACAGTGGCTGCACATCTGCATTCCCACCAGCAGTGCACGAGGGTGCCCTTTTCTCCACACCCTCGCCAGCACCTGCTGCTTATTTATGGATGGCAGCCATTCTGGCAGGTGTAAGGTTTTAATTTGCATCTCTCTGATGATTAGTGATGTTGAGCATCTTTTCATATGCCTATTAGCCATCTGTATGTCCTCTTTGGAGAGGTGTCTATTCAGATGTTGACCTTCCTAATGTCAAACTTCCTTAACATTTAATCGTATCAGTGTAGAAAAGGCACTTCCAGATTAAATTCTCTTTCTAGACCAAGGCTGTTGGTCTGCTGTTGTTTTATCAATCTGCATATATTTCTAAAAATATTTTATTCTATTCAAGAAAGCTAATAAGAGGCAATATGCATAAATACATATGTAAATTTTGTCAGTCCTCATTGGGCTTGCAATCAAGCAAGGATCTTTTGCTGTCTACTTTTCCTGTCCATTCTTGCATTTAGGTATTTATAAGCTCCAAAAACTGGCTCTAACAACAGTTTGTGCCAAGAAATCTCCTGAATTCAGCTTTGATGTTTTCCTAATTTGAATACACTACAGACATTTCTAAACCTCAAAAACAAACCCTGTCTTGCCTTGCTATATTATAGCTATAGGTAAATAAAAACTGCTTGGCATGTTTGCTTTGCTTTTAGATGCAATAATTCTATTTTGTTTGTTTTTAAATCATGATTTCACCACGCACAGAACTAAATTAGTTAAACTGAAATTGTCTTAAGTATTGGTCTCAAGACGATTACAAATTAAATTACAAAACTATTTCTCAAATGGCAACAGTGTTTCCCATTCTGGACAGGACGTTAAAAATCAGTTCCAATAAGGAACTGAAAATATATTTGCCCACGTATATGGATGAGGACGGTGGTTCGTTCCTTCCTCTCTCTCCCTTTTCCATNAAGGAACTGAAAATATATTTGCCCACGTATATGGATGAGGACGGTGGTTCCTTCCTCTCTCTCCCTTTTCCATCACCTTCCTAACACAAGGAAGGCTAATGTGAACCAAATATAAGCTTAAAAAAAGAATCAACTACACAAAACACCTGATTTTCCTCTAAGTAAATTCATTCAGCAACTGGGGTAGGCAGGAAAGAAACGCTTCCCGGGGACAAAGGAAAACAAAAGGTACGTGCTGTGTAAAGCTTCGGAATGGCTGGAAGCAGAACCAGCACTGTCACCTCGATGGCACAGAGCAATCAGCAGGGAGGTGGGGGTGGGACGAAGGGAACCTGCCCGCTTTTCCATGCACAAAACGCTGACACGGCGGCGGAATCCCTAGCTCTGGGTCCAGACTTCACCGGCCCGCTTTCCCGGTCCTCTCCGCCTCCAACCCTGCGCCACCCACCGCACCCCACCCGACAGCCTGGGAAACCCGGCGGCCAGAGGCGCCGGGAAGCGCGAGGAGGGGGAACGTGGAGGATGCGCAGGTGCGTGCAGGGCGCGTCCACGGCGACGAGAGGGAGATGCATCGCCCCCCCGTGTCCCCCCAGGCATGCGCTCCTGGCCGCTGGGGAGGGTCCCGGCCTAGGGAACGCCCACCGAGGCGGGCAGGTGCCCGCACCCGGGCTGTGCGTGGACTCCGGGTTTGTTTGGGGGCCCACCGTGAGCCCACGGGAGGCGCGTGGGTGCCCGGGAGGCAGGCTGGCCCCTTCTTACCTTCGCGGCGACCCGACCCGTCCGCATCGGCTTGGGGCAGTGGGAGGCAGGACCTGGAGGGGCCTCCCTTCCGCAGGCCCGGCGCAATGGCGGGGAGCTGGCGGGAGCGGGCGGGACCCCCGGAACCTGCAGCCGCTCTCCCGCACGCAACCTCCGCGCAGAGCACCTGACCCGCACGGCGTCCCGCCGCGGGCCCCGCCCCTTGGCTTTCATTGGCTCCGGTGGAGACTCGTACAGGCAGAGGACTCCTGGG